ATGAGGGATGGTGCCGCGGTTTTGGGATGGTACTTGGCCGGGGTACTCATCAGCAAAATCTCGGCGCTGGAACTTGCTTGGTTGCCGAGCTGAAATACCCGGACAGACGAGCACACACACACACAAACAAACATACACACACACATACACACAGGCGGGGTCGTCTCAATATGCGTTTTTGCAATTTGCATATAGGCAAAAGCGCATAACAAATCGGATTATGCCGATATTATGCGTGCTAATTTGCATATCTATAAACCCGAAAGTGCCAAGCCATATCTATAAACCCGAAAGTACCAAGCCAAAGGCTGTGTATAATTTCTTGCGTCAAAAACTTGCATCGAGTTTTTTTTTTTTTTAGTTCTTTTGAATCTGCTTTAGCTACCAATACCGAAACTCAACCAGATTGGACAGATTCGAGGACAACAGGCATCAGTGTTCAGGTGTTTTGGGATCTGAAACAACTTGTGTCTAAAATTCACTAATTTTGGACAGTAACTGGCATTGATAGGGTAACTTGAATTGGGGTTGTAAGCAGGAGTCAAAACTCCTTACAGTACTTCATCCTTCGTGAAATATGGTTCTTAGAAGCTAGTCACAGTTCAGCAGCAAATACCTACTAGAAAGCTTATCAGTCGTTTTCTCTTTTGAGGTTGCTTCTACCTTCTACAAACAGACAGGAAGATCCGATCATCGGAATAATAAGCATGTCAGTGCCGGCTCCTCATGAAAGGATCAAGAAATCGTGCCGGGGGCTATTTTCCATCACTGATACCGAACCAGAAATTCAGCTCTAGCAGCATCTGCCACTTACCACTGCATCAAGCACGCCAGCAGAAGTATAAAAACTTCTTCCCAAATCTAGGCGGTAAAAGGTCGCTTAACGTGTAACAGTTGCCCTCACTTAGGCAGGAATGCAGTGACTGAGTGTGCTGTGCTAAAACAACCGCTTCCTGCCCTCGCTTCTGAATGAGTTTTTACTGCCAAAAGAGAAATGGGCGAGCACTACCGTGTTTTGTTTTAAACCATTACGCAATTTTTGTAATACGCTGGCAAGAATCGAAATGTGAGCTGTTTGTATGAGCACTGTAAAGCACTCTAGAATAACGCGCATGCGAATGACACACACGCAGAATATAAACGCTTCATTAAATATGTGAAGCACATGGGTCGGTAGTACAGTGGTTTACTCGCTACGCTCGGTTGTGAACACGAGTGATTCGACTCTCTCCCCGTCCATGCATGTGTGTAAAAGGGCTCTGTTCGCGCGACAAACACATTTGAAGGTTAAGAAGAAGCAATCCCTGGAAAACAAGCTAACTGGTCTAGAGAAGTCGAAGGGAAAATTGTTTTAATTGAATAATTACGATGTTTTTTTTTTACATCCGGCAAAAAACAATTAGATGACAAACACGCACTAGATGAAAAATTAACACCCAAGCTGGAAGGCACCAGGCGGCCTGGTGCGATTATGCGTTTTCGTACTTTTCGTGCTGTCGCAAGATTGTAAGGAATAACAGTAGCTGGCCCTGTGGCATACTGGCTCTTGAAGTTCGGGAAGTTAACTGTGGAGCTATGTGGCATGTCAGTTGTAGATGTCGGCTTCAGTGACCTAACAAACAAAAAGTTGCTGGTGCGCGAAAAAGACCCCACCAGAAGAGCTGAATATGAAATCTTTTAGTCGCACATGAGTAGGGAACATGCCCTTAAAATTAAAGCCTTCCAGCTGATCTCTTCCCGAGTTGGCTGTTTTTCCGCAAAAATTTTCACGCGCCCATAAGTGAGTCCCGGGCAGTCCTAGGCAGCTGAATTTGAAATTTTTTGGTCGTACATGAATAGGGAACATTCCCCTAAAATTTTAGCTTTCTGACTTTTCTCATTCCCAAGTTAGTGATTTTCCCGCCAAAATTTCCATGTGACCATACTTCAGTCCAGGATAGTCCTGGTCAACTGAATTTGGAGTTTTTTGGTCGCACACAAGTGTTGAACATTGCTCTAAATTTTCAACTTTCTAGCTCTTCTCGTACTCGAGTTATTAGTTTTTTCTCGCCATAATTTTCACGTATTCGCACGCCAGTCGCCGGCAGTCCTGGGCAACTGAATTCGGAAATTATTTGTTATACATGGTAAGATTACCCTAAAGTTTCAGCTTTCTAGCTTTTTTCGTTCCCGAGTTAGCAGTTTTCCCGCAGAACTTTCACGTACTCGTACTCGGGACCCAAACATCCGTGAGAGTTCATAACGCAGTCCTCGGGTGGCACTTGGCTGGGGAACACACTGGCAAAATTTCAGCTTCAAAGCTTGCGTGATTGGCGAATTGAAATACCCGGACAGACGAAGACGCACACACACTGACATGTTCGTTGCAATATGCGTTTTTGCTGCCTGTTGCAGCACTCTAGCGCTGTACGGCAAAAACGCATGATCAATGGCGACGCACACCGGGCGGGCCGTGTGATTGTGCGTTTTTGCAATATTGCGTGCTGTAATAAAATCGTTCGGAATCCCAGTAGCTAGATATGTGTGGTATACTGGTCCTCGAAATCTGGGAAGTTAATTGTCTACGTGGTATTTGGATAAGGAACATTTTGTTGAAATTTCAGTTTTCCAAATTTTCTTGAGTCAGCAGTTTTCCTGCCAAAAATATTCATGGGCCGTACGTGACAACCACGTATGTCCAGGGGGGAGGGGGAAAGAGGCTGAGTTTGATAAATTTAAGTCGTACATAGGCTGGGAACATTCCCTGAAAATTTCAGCCTCCCAGCTTTTCTGGTTCCTGAGTGAGCCATATTCGCAGCAAAAATTTTCACGAGGCCGTACGTGATAACCACAGATGACTGGGGGCTGAAGTTGTTAACTTTAAGTTGTACATGTGCCGGGAATATTCCTTGAAATTTTCAGCTTCCAGTATTCCTGGCTCCCGTGTTAGCCATTTTCCCGCCAAAAATTTCTATGGGGCCATCCTTGAGAACCACGCACACCGAGGGGCTGGACTCGATAAATTTGTGTTATGTACATGCTGGAAACATTCCCTGAAAATTCCAGCCTCTCAGCTTTCTTGGTTCCCGAGTTAGCGATTTTCGCGCCAGGAACTCTCATGGAGCCATACGTGGAAACTACGCACATCTGGGGGCTGAATTTAAAATCTTAACCTCAGAATTTCAGCTTTCTAGCTTTCCTGGTTCTCGAGTTAGCGATTTTCCCGCCAAAACTTTCACCCTCTCGTACGTGGGGCCCAGACTTGCATGAGGGTTGGTACCATGGTCCTGGGGTGGCGCTTGGCCGGGGAACCCACCGGCAAAATTTTGGCGCCGAAGCTTACTTGAGTGCCGGGTTGAAATATCCAGACAGACGTAAACACACACATACACACCGGGGTCGTCACAGTATGCGTTTTTGCATTTGCATATAAGCAAAAACGCATTAAAAACTGATGGACCTGATCGTGAGCAGAAGGCAATTCAATAGAGAGAAGAAGGTTTTGGGCATTTTTTCGGCCACTGTATGCTGCAAAAAGTACCACATCTGTGATATTTCTGTGTCGAAATTCAAAATGCAGTGCTGCATTTTTGGCTACAATATGGCGCCAGAAACCTTCTGCCTGCAAACGTTAAGCGTGATTTTCTTTTTACGGAAATTTTTTAAAATAATTGTTCAAACTGTGGCGACCTGTACGAGATTAGAGCTCCGCCTGCAAAAGCATCTTACGAGTGGGAGACACTTAGAACAGGGCAAGGCAAGCTAAGAATAGGGGAAAACAAACTTAGAATTCAGTATGCCAATTAAAAAAGTGTATTAGATAAGTTGCAGTTCCGTTTAGCAGTAAGAGGTGCCTGCTCTCTTGCTTGATGCAAGAAATTAGTATCTTATTAAACCGTTTCATATGCAGCGTGGTACTGGCGTGCTCAGCGTGCAGAGTGGAGTCAGTACAGTTTCAGTTTGCTCATCATTGCTACCTAGGATGTTACAGGGGAGAAAAAAAAGGCGAACGAGAAAAGGGGGAGAGAAGATAGCAAAAGCAAAACTGTCACGACGTTTCGGTCATAAAAGTCACAACTCAGCATCGCTTCGGAATTCACGCGCAACGGCTGTAGCGTAAATTTAGAGGGAACAGGAAAAGCACCGTATGAAAAACAAAGTAAAAAAGAAAAGAGGAAGCTAAAGGCGCAGAAGGCTGGAAAAAGTAGAACACCCAGATTCTCAAGCAAACCTTGCAAAAAGAAACAATGAACAGTTCAACTAGTAAGTAGTTGCCACTGGCGAGATATCATTCTTCACTTTCGCATTTGTTGTGTTCCAAAGAAATTGAAGCACGAAAGAGCT